CATTGGCTCAGCACACTCACAGGTGTTTTAACCTCATGTCTGATTAAACCTCTTGGAAGGTTAGAGGTTACATGGAGCCACCAAAGTCTGTGGCTGAGTGTGTGTGAAGATTTAACGACAAAAAAGAAGTGTTATCACACAATGCTGCCGTCTCGGCCTTCCTTTAAACAAAAAAATGTAATCACAATGGGAATATGCATGCTAATATAAAGGTTAAAGTAGAAAGCAATGTGTCACATTTTAGATGTGAAAATTAACGTGTGTGACACTGAGTGATGACGCAAAAATATTTAATTGTACATAATCTCAACTGCTCACCTCTTATACACGACGCCCCCGAATTTGGGGGCTTTGTGCTCAAGTGGCGTAGCAAAAATCGTCGAAGAAATGTACATATCGATAGCGAATATTGTGCATGTATACATATGTTATATACCAGATTAAACAGCAACAGCTGGGTAACACTATCATGTAAGTCACTTTTTACACACTCCAAACACAATTATACCAACTAATATAAGCAACTACAAGATTTGCACAATATCACATATTTTTCGCCACAAATCGGCAACCTATGCACTCCGTTTGCATCTCCCGTCACAAAGCTGGCAGCTATCATGGCGGATGGATACATGAAAAAGCACGAGGATTCGACCGCCAGTCGAATCACATCTTCTAAATTCCTCTCCATCAAACCATTCAAAAGTTACATAGATAAAGCCAACGAACAAGAAGCCGCTCCACAGCAAAAAAATGTAAACACAGCATACCTTTTGTTGATTTTCGTGACAAAAAAAACGCAGGAAATCCATTGTAATCCGTGACTGCGGTATAGTCCGTGCCCTGCACTCTCTGTCTGTAAGAAAATGGAGGTCCTGGGAGCTTCTGTGACGAAATGGTCAGCATTTGCCTGCTGGGCAAATGATTTTACGCGTGGGGGTTGTGCCGCACAGATCGAGATTTTTAGTGGCTAAAAGTCTGTCAATCTAGTAAATAACCCACCTGCTGCTTTTGTGAGTCTCTTCCGCATTGAACAAGGTGTCACATGATGAAATCCGCCAATCACAGGCCTTACAAAGGCTTACAGAGACACAGACAGAGAGGAGAAAATTCCATGGAGGAGAGATATGAGAGCTCAAAATGGCTCAAAATGATGCCAAACTGCTGCTTTATTAGGATGTATTGAACACTCTTAGTGATAAAACAAGTGAATATATAATTAATATATAGTTATATAGTATATCAAATTAGAATAGAGCAGCGCAACAGCTGGTTCCAAAAATGAGAATTTGGCTTGACTGTCCGTACTCAGACCTCTATTATTCTGGCCTGCTTCACTCAATCGAAGTCAAATCTGTTTGTGGAGACTGTAAACATGCTGTGCTATGACTGTGACGTATTTTTAGGCTGGTATCTGCATTATTTCAAATAAATATCTTCAATACAAGTGCTTTTTTTTCAGGTGAACCTGAAACTTTTCAATTTGAGCTGTGTTCCATCTTCATTCACTATTAACCAGTAACATATACACAGTATTTACACATCTGAACAAGTGTATCACGAGTTTTACCTGTATTATACCATCAAAATTATTAAAATAGACCTTGTAGTTAGAGATCCACACTCTCTTTAGTATGGGTATGCAATTTTCGAGCAGAGGCCTAAAAATAGGGCTCGTGTTTTTAAAAGGTTTTAACTACTAAATGTTTTGATGATTTGAAAGCCATGCACAACCAAACGGGTGTTTTCACTTCCTGTCTGACTGCGTGTAACTAATCACATTAACGATGGCTGCATTCAGGGTGCTGGTTTTCCTGCACGCTCAAACGGAGAGCAGTCGTCATTAATGCTACTAGTTCCACCTGTAATTCTCCTGCTCTGACAAGTGAAAACATCTGCTGTGAAAGAGCTCAAAGAACGACACAGGTGTAATTTGACCCACCCAGACAGGTGAAATAAAAAACACACACACTCGGAGAATCAGTCAGTGCCGAGGTCTAATCAGGCTTAAGTGTTAACACCTGTGCGGTGCACCAGCAGCATGTGTGTGTGTGAAGCCTTTAAATTCCTTCCTATCAATATATTTGACTGCTATGAATCCTGCTTCATTCTTTTTCTCGTGTCACTTCTCCGTGGCGCCTCTCTGCGTTTGCCTCGGGCCTGTTCGGAGGCCCTGACCTCTGTCACGAGTTTGATAAATGAGAAGCCAGAGAAAGCCAGCGCCGTCCCATCTCTGTGTGTTTAATGTGTGGCGGCCCTCTGTTGTTCTAGGGTCACCTAATTCCATTTCATGCTCCAGAAGAAAAGGCCCGTTGAAATGAAAGCAGACTAGTTTAAAGGGTGCGTCTTTGCACACCGCCCTGCTACCTGTCTGTCTCTTCTCTCCCCGTCTTTACGTCGAGCGTTTCTCTTGTCATTGAATAAAGGGAGCGTGAGGGAGCTTTAATCAAGGCCAGTGCCTCTCTAATGTTCTGCCTCAGGAGGATTTTCTACTGTCTGGCCTGTTGAGCTCACCATCTGTGGGATGTGTGGGTTTCTTTTGAGCACTCCGTGGATCCGACATGCAGCTATACTGTTCCTCTTGTGAACAAAAGCCTGCTGCATACAAATCTGTCCCCTTTCTGGTCATCAGAAGCGTGCTGGCAGTCCAAACGTGAAGTAGAGGCGGTTGTTTGTGATGACCTCGCTCTTACGTAAGACGGAGTTCACATGCAAAGTGATTTTTAAATGAGTTACCATCACAATCCTGAGCGCATCAAAAAACATCTAAATTACTTCAAATGCGGAATACATAAACCTCCATGAATTATGAACGAAGCGGGACTTTGCTTATTAATTTAGTGTCTGTGACTCTAAACTCCCACAGCAGCACAGGCCGACGGGGGCGGGTGAGAGTGCACGTGTAATCATTAAAAACATCGAGGTCGTCTCAGAGAATCTTTTTATCTGTCGACAAATTTTAAAGAAGAAAGAAAAAGAGCCGTTAATACATGTACTGACTCACGTCTGTGACTGTGGTTGTTGTTATTTTTTAGTTTTAGAGGTCTCACAGCTAATATCTCGTGATATTGGACTCGCGATGAACCCGACTTTCATCACATGCTGCCAGTTGCTATGACGATGACATGGTTTTTGTTCTGCCGGGTTGGCGGCGCTCCAACATGTTCCCACACAGAGCTCCAGAGTTCAGCGCTCAGCGGTTTCCTCTCAGTGGCGCACGTTCTCCAGAATGAACCGTGGTTTCTTTCTCACACAGTTGATTTATAGCTACTGAATCTTTCAGGTAACACAAAGTTTAAAAGTGTCGTGAGACTCGTTAGGTATCTTAAAGTGGCAATCGTGATGATTTTCATTTCGATAAATCTCTGTCAGTCACTATATGAAGACTTGTCTGTTTGCTGCCGCCTTTACTGGAACCAGATTCAAGGATATTAATCAATTTCCTGCATTTCTGCATTTTACTACTGTATTTTATTTCTTATTTTTAGTGTTTTAATGACTGTTTTTAATGTTTCAATCAATGTTCCTGTTTTTAAATCTCCTTTTCTTTTGTCTTATGTTTTAAAACTTTTAATGGTTTTACACGTTGAATTGCCTTGTTGTTGAAATGTGCTTTGCAAATAAGCCTTGCCTTGCCTATCGCCAAATGAGGTAACACAATGGTGTCTGATGAAAGTATTGAAATATTCATATTTTACCAACTAGGAGTCTGTGACGACCATCGATTCTCTCCGTGACATCACCCATAGGCTTCCCCCCGTAGAGTCGAAGCGTCAACGACTTTATCATCACCCATCATCCGCTAATAATAAACAATTATCTTTCTTCATCTTACCTGTCTCTCCTGATTGAAATAATTCTGGCAGTAATGGAACAAGAAGGCGCCGCCACAGTGAGCTGATAGATGAAGAGCTGCGGGCGACAGCGAGGGAACCAGCTACTTTCATCTGCGCTGTTTGCAGACTCGCGTCCTGTGCAGCATAAAGTCGCGAGAGTGATGGGAAAACAACATAAAAATGATTGCTTTATCAAAACATAAATAGTTTGGTTTGTGTTCTTAAGTGAGCTGCTTTGTATATATTTTTGATTATTGTTTTAGCGCTCTGCGCCTGGAATTTTTCTGTAGTATTACTTACTTACTCATATTCCATTTCTGACACATTAGCACTTTAGGTGAAATCTCTCAAAAACCATTGCCATGAAAGCACCAACATCAGGCCGGGAATTAATTAATTTGTTCATTATTTTTATATCTTCAAAACTGGTGACATTCCCATCATCCTCAGCTGAACTTTGTGTTTAGTGCCAGTTAGCAAAAGTTAGCATGCTAACAGGCTAAACTGCGGGGGCATAAACAATGGTAAACATGACATCTGCTGAACGTCCGAATGTTAGCGTTGTCATTGTGAGCATGTTAGCACGCTGATGTTAGCATGTGCCACTTACAGTGTTTCTCAAATAAGGCCACTAGGGGGCACGTGAGATTTAAATATATATATATATATCCCACAATAATCATTCTATAACAAGTGACATAACCACATATTATATTCAATAGTCCTATTTTCAATGCAGTCGTTAACTGCCGTCAACTGTCAACTTGAGAACCAGAGAGCCAGTAGCGTGGCATCTTGTTTCAACGCGTATCACTGAAAGAGGACAGACAGGGCGGCTGTGGTTCAGGTAGAGCCGGGTTGTCCATTTAAACTCGGGGGTCAGCGAGTCGATTCCCGGATCTGTCCTGCAGCAGCGAGACACCGAGCCCTCGATCGCTCGCCGTGGTCAGGCCTGCGCATTGCGTGGTTCCTCGCTGCCATTAGTGTGTGTGTGAAAAGTTCTCTGGATAAAAGCACCGTATGAATGAAGTCCATTTCTATTTAACTCATCAGACCATTATGGAAGTGCATCTGCTGTATTTCATTTCATCAAGTTTCTTTTTATTTCTCCACCATCAGTAGATCTTTTCATTCAGGGAAAAAAAAACTGCACCCAAACACAACCATTTTTAAGACTTTTATTTAGCTTTCAAGAACATTCATCCATTCTGTAGTGGCAGACATACTCTGTGATAAAGGATGCTGCGTGTACCATTTATAGTGCATTTTGTTGCCCAGGTAGCTTAGAAGAAGTGCAGTATGTGAGGTAAATAGCAATTATTGTAGCTTTACATCTCTGCTTATTCAGCCTCAGCATCTACTCTCAAGCAACACATGCTTTAGTCTAAGCTAAGAGGCTATCGTAGAATAAAGCTCTGTGTGTTCAAAGTGCAAGTATTTTAGAGCTAGTGCAATATTAACTACTTGTTCAGCTCTGATGGTGAGATTTGCCAGGTCTTAGTTAATGAGGAAAATGACTCACATTGTGCCAGAAGATTGCTAACCAAGCTCGGCACTCGGAAACAGGCAATTACATTACTTTTTATTTTTGTTGAGCAGATGATCCTGTCTCACCCGGAGATGGAGCTGGGTTTCTGGCTCAGACTGGAGCTCAAGAGCCACAGCGTGGCGGCCAACATATGATCCACACACACACACGTAAACAAGGATATTCATGGCAGACTCTCTGATCTGATGTGAGCCTGGCTGATGATACAGCTGCTGTTTAACCTCCTGGTTTTCCCAGCGACAGATGCGCTAACACACTCACTCCTTAAGATGATTGACTGGCTGGAGGTAATAAAGATGCCACCCTTCATTTTTACCACAGCCTCGCTTCCTGTCTCTAACAAATCTGCAAATGAGCGCATCATGTCTGCGAGCGTTTAACTTTGAAAGCGATGAATGGAGTCGGCTGCTGTGGCGACAGTTGTTGCTGTCAAATCCTAAATCTCACCCCCAGTCTCTCCACTTTAAATCACCGTGGTGGCATTGATGGGGATGCTGTTGCCGCTCTTCATCCTTGTCAAACTCTCTGCGGGGCTTTTTGTCGTTTCAGTGCCGCCTGCTGTTTCGTCCTTGTTCTTGCGGAAACAGAAGACGCCATAGAGGCGGAATTTTTTATCAGGGAAGCCCAGGTGTCGGACGCCTGGCTGGGATCCCCCACAGCGAGAGCGGGGGTTGACTATGGGGTACCGGATGCTGCCGTCCTCCAACCAGCCGGCCTCACAGCGGTCCAGGAGCTGGAACTTCCACGCGGCGTACAGCTGACCCACTTTGGCCACCGCTGAGCCGTCTCGAACGCAGGCCTTCATCGCCTCCGCATAGTTCACCTTCTTGAAGCGTTTGAGGAAGTACACTTTGCCTGAGGGGATATAGAGGGAGAGGGTGGAGGATGTTTGTGGTAACAACTGAAAAGGTGCAGGAAAACAGGGCGAGTGCATTGTTCACGAGGGCAAAAGGAAAGAAGGAGAGAGGAGAGTGAACGAGAGAGTGAAGCCCCCAGAGACACGCCGAGGCCTGAGGGAAGATATTCATAGGTTTCCCGGCTTCTCTGTCTGACTGTGTTCAGAATATCAAAACCGTTCCAACAACCGTCTGGGCAGCTTCTCAAAATCGAAAGCCAATACGCTCTAACTCAAAATTACTCTTAAAACGCTTCCATTTTTGCTTTCATCTCACCTCCGGGGAGACTTTTTTCGCCTAGCAGTATTAAGGAAATTGGTGTTCTGATTGGATGACTTGCTTCAACTGAACTGAATCACGAGTTAAGCTTTGTCAAAGGAAGAAGCAAAGGATGAAGAAGCTACCCAAGAAAATAGAGGTTGGCTGTTTCTCCAAACAGCAACAACCGCTATCATGAAAATCACGTCCGCAACCTCAGCTTTGCACTTGGCTCAGCTATTGTTATGCTTGCTTATGTGACTGCTGGCTATTAGAGAGGCAGAATATTGTCTCATATTTCCCCGGGGGACGCTCGGTAAATACCTTCCAGCTGGACTGAGCAACAGTATAACAGGTCACGACCACTGCTGAAACCTCCTGCCCACAACAGACTGTCCACAATAATTAACACACAGGGGAATCCATGAGCAATCGTTTAAGGTTTCTGTCCTACTCGCCAAGGAAAAGCACTGGCACCGCTTCTTTGCTCCAGTTTAAACTGTCCCAAAATTGTTTATGATTCACTGAAGAGCCTCGTCTTTTATCTAGTTAATAAAAAATAAATCCTTTCACTTTTTATAATGCATGAGAAGGTTTCGATTCTCTTTCAAGCTTCAAAGGGGCTCTGGCAGAATCCAATTCATGTATTTCCCAAACTGAATTTCTTAACCAACGGTGTACTGTATGTTTCACTAGCGGGTCAATGTTTAAAAGGAGTTGTTAGAGAGGTTTTGGGAAATATTTGCTTTCTTGCCGAGAGTTAAGACCTTCACACAACGGGAGCGTGACGAACAAACTACATGAAAATGCTTCCATGTTGTTGTTTCATAAACATATATTGTATAGAAGTCTATGAGAAAAATGACTCTACTTCTCTCTTGATTTATTACCTCAGTAAACATTGTAAACATGGGTTTATGGTCTCAATCTCTCCTTTAATAAATTATGGTCCATTTAGAGTCAAAGAGACCATAAAGCAGGGTATGATTTAGGGCGGGGCTCATTTGTGATTGACAGGTTGCCTTATATGGCGTGTATGTCAATCCTCGTAGAGTATTGCAAATACGGTCAATTCCGTTCACTGGTGGGAAATGTTCAAGATGGCGACGGCCAAACTGGCGACCTAGAGGCTTCAGAACAGCAGTCCACAAACCAAAGGACCACGCCTACTTCTTATTTACAAAAATCATCCAATTCCATACAATATGATTGGTTGATGCCTTTACTCGCGGTGCAAAAGCTAAAGAAAGTGTTACCAATCTTGTATTACTCCTTTGTCCCCTCATACATGTTCGACTACAGAGTCAGTGATGTAAAAACAAATCCAGCCGCCGACTTCCCCGAGTTTGTCTGAGCTTCTGAACCTGGAGGTGTGTGACGGAGACACTAGCAGACTCTCTGTGGGGATGGGATGTGAATCAAAGAGCTGGGAGATGAAAGCCGACGCCTGGCACCCAGAGGACACTGTGGCCCGGGCAGGGCCGCATCAACAAGGCCTGATCTAAATCCAATGGCCTGAGGCCAGAGAGATCACAGGCAGAGATCAGAGACGTGGGCCTATAATTTCCCCACGGTCCAACACTCGTGATGTATCTGTTTCGATACAGTACCACAACAATCCAGCTCCGCCACTGTCTTGTTCTCATTAGCCACTGATGCTGCGTACTCATTTGGATGTTTGTATTTAGTCGTACGATCATGTAGATGGACGACAAAGTGTTTCTGATCTTCAGATACGGACGTGCCTGTGCACGCGACTATGGCCGCCAACCCGCGTGCCGGCTCTCTCCGTTTCTCACCGTTGAGCTTGGAAGTGAAGCAGAAGGCATCATAGCGCTCCTCCTCCTTGTGCCGGTAGCCATAGTTCCGAACGCCAGCGGGGTTGTCCTTGCGGCCGCACTCGTCTCTGGGATGAGAGATAGGGTACTGGACCGAGCCGTCCTCCAGCCATCCAGCATTACACCAGTCTAGTCCCTCCAGCCAGGCCTGTGGAGGGAGATAATGTACGTCAGAGGGTCATACTGAAGGATTAAATACATTATTAAGAGGTTTATCTCCTCTGACATTACTCCATTACTCTGGACTTTAATGCATATGGTTTTTTTTAAATAATGGGCCTGCAGTTAAATGTCTGGACTGTGATATGCATATTCTTATATCAGACTTACTGCTGCTCTAAAGCAGTTTATGACTGAGGGTTATAATCAGTAAGTGCATTATTAAAACAAAAAAAATGGGCTATAAATTAATGTGCGATGGAAGGCATGATCAAAACCAAATATACAGTATGTAATAAATCTTTGGCGGTGATCTGATCCTTCCACCACCGTCTCTCATGACATGACGGACATTTGTACCACAGCCGGCAACCTCTGGTTCTGAAAATTGAAGCCAATGTTTGAGTGCCTTAAAGCTGCATTCTCTCTAGTGGCCATCAGGGGGCGACTCCTCTGGTTGTATAGAAGTCTATGAGAAAATGACTCTACTTCTCTCTTGATTTATTCCCTCAGTAAACATTGTAAACATGAGTTTATGGTCTCACTCTGTAGTTTTAAGTCTTCTTCAATACAGCATGATGTTCATTTAGTACATTATGGTCCATTTAGAGTCAAACAGACCATAAAGCAGGGGATGCTTTGGGGCGGGGCTACCTTGTGATTGACAGGTCGCTACGACGGAGTTGTCCGGTCCAGGAGTTGTCCGTGTTGTCTTCTTAGAACTTTAACCCTTTCATGAAAGTTAATTAACATTTTCGTTGGCTTTTCCGATACCATTTTTTCCTTCCCGGTACTGATTCCAAAACCTGAACTTGCGTTTTATACCGAGTACCAACGCATTGCTTAAACATCCTAATATAAATCAAATGCAACCTCCACACATTAGCTGTTTGCTATGTTATTTAGCTAAGCAGGACTGTGCCGCCCACCAGCTGCTAGCAGCTAGCTTAGCTTGGATCAGAGGCATTTCCAGCACTGGTATCAGTATTGGAACAATTCTACAAAAAAATTATTCAGCGCTCGGTTGTAGCTCCACCCACTCGTGTTACATCTGGTTGCAAAAAACAAAGACGGCATCGGCAAAAATGCCAAATTCGAGGCTTCAAAACGGCAGTCCACATGCCAATGGGTGACGTCGCGATGACTACATCAACTTCTTATATACAGACTATGGCGTATACTCACCTTGTGCAGTTGAGAGTGAGAGGCCAGAATGGCATCCTGCTGTTTGCAGGCATCCTCCCCCTGGTGGTAGTTGAGCTTATAGCGCCCCTCACGAGGGTAGTAGGGGAACACCACTCCTAACGGTGACAGAAACATACTTTTAAGTGTATGAATTTCACTTTAATCTCATAGGAACTGGTCTATCTCACTGGCCAACACTTTATACAAGAGCCAGTAGAGCTTTAGAAAGGTCAAGCCTTTTAACAAAATCTCTTCCAGTTGCCTCTTTAATTCCTGACCTTCTAGGTCGAGGTTGACAAATCCCGTATCGTCTTCCATGTCATTAGTGACTTCACACTCAAAGCGTCCGTAGTCCTCCAGCGTGACATTCTGGATGATTACCGAGGCGTCACCTGGTCCCGCCTGCTCCAAAAACACACGGCCTTTATAAGCTCCAAACACACGCTGCTGCCTGGAGAGAGATTAGAAATGCAAAATATTTATTTTTATCATAGAAATGGAATATTTTATTTCTATGATTTTCGCCGTTTGAGCAAAATAATTGACATGAGAAACTCTATTGAAGTGGACTTTGTGAATGTGATGTATTTGAAAATGAATTACTACATTGTGACTGTATGCTAAGCATCTATAGTATGAGGCAGACACATGTAATTAAAACCTACAGATACAAACGGATTGACTGAGAAATGAAGGTTTTACCTTCCAAGTGCCACAAAGACGTCCTCGAACTGCAGCGCATCGGTCACTTTGGTCCATTTAATCCGAATGCGGTCAGGGTCGGTGTTCTCCGGCTCGTGGTGGAATCTGCAGGGCAGAGTGATGGAGCCGCCGCGATGTGTCACCACTTTACCCGGAGCTGTCTGCACGATCACCGCTCCGGTGTCATCCTCTGTGGGGAAGAAAAAAAACAATACTGTATTTAGGGAATGATAACTATTTAACTTTTACTGTAATTTTGCTGGTCTGCTTGCTCATACTTTACTTTTATTATTTACACCAGGAGATTATGTATTTGTGTGTGTGCGTGTGTGTGTGCATCTCTGTGTCTGTCTGTCTGTCCACGGCAAATCTCACATACTACTGGACCCATCAGCCTGATCTTTTTTGTGCTCATTTATGCCTGTACGCTCAATGGCCTCTTGTGGTAAACAGTCAACATGAAGCGTTACACAGCCTCGACGTTGTGGGCGGAATTTGGCACTCCTCTTATTCTTTTTGTTGTTATTATCATATATATTTTTGGGGTTGTAATTTATTACTATCAAAATAGTTATTATTGCCATGTGCTTTATCCAAATGTTTCTTTAATATTCAACTATCTAGCAACTTTTATGTGTAAAGTTTATGTTTATAAATCACGTTTTATTGTGGGACACACACACACACACACACACAGTGTTGCCGACTTGGAGACTTTCTCGCTGGACTTCGCAGCTTTTCAGATCGTTTTAACAACTTGCTACTTAGCATAAACACAGTCAGCGTCTCTCTTCTCTCCCCGCGCGCATGTAGGCAAGAGTGAGCTGCTCTGGTGACAGGCGTCGGTGTCACCGGCTCAGTTTGTCGAGGCTTAACAAACATGTTGAGTGTTGCCCTGAAAATGATTTTGTAAGATATTGATATTTTGTCACAATAAATGTAAGCTGAAGTGAAGCTCGCTAATTTTATGTTTGTATGTGAGATTTGTCCAAAACACAAGTTACAGAAGAGGAGAAATGGCAGAGCGTGTATATTCATTACACCGCAATTCATAATTAATCTGGGAAGTAAGCTACAGTTTTTGGTGTACACATTTAAACATTTCAATTATTACAGACATGAAGGCTACTTTGCATGTAAATAAGGTGCCGGAGTGCATTAAAAAAAGCATCAAAATAAAGCTTGTTTGTCAAGAAACTCCATGGATTAGCAAAACTGTTGCTTGAGACTTGCGAGTGAAAAGCGAGTCTGACACGTTTGCGGTCTAGACAGGTGGCAATTGTGGTTTGTAATTCATTCAATCAAACTTTACAGCAGTGGTTGTTGCAGTCACATCTGGCAGAGATCTGCATTCTAGTTTGCGAATGGGTTTTGAATGGCGTTTATAACTTTTATGCTCGACATCGAGCAGCGCTACTATCTTGGCCAGAAGTATAAAAGTGGTGGATACGAGCCAATATGAGTAATTCTCCATTGCCATAAAAAAATGTGCAGTCAAGTCCTTGTAGTGCTGTTTGCAATCACCCTTGACACAGCCAACACTTGTAACTTTTGTTCAAATCGTAAAATAAAATCCTTGATTCTCTTAGTGGTGGATACCACACGCAGTGAGGTGCCCCGCGAAATAGAATAAATCGTGTGCTGTTTATTTGTGCTGTCCAGCATATCAATAGAAGAAAAAAAGGATGTTGGTCGCTTCTCTGCCCAGATCTATCATCAGATTACCCCACTCAAAAATTTAACCTCAACCTCTCTCTCGAGAGTAATTCACCAAAATGACCCAAGACTAATGGTAACCATAGGCCTCTTCTCCTGATGGGCAATAACAAGAACGATTTGCATTTATTGCAGACATTCGCTCAGATGCTGTTTGTGTGTGCCAGTGCAGCCAGAAACTAGACACACACACACACACACACACACACACACACAAGTGTGGTGTAAACATTTAATGAGTGGCTGCAAGAGGTTTTCTGCTATGTTGTGACCAGATAAAGGCACCAACAATTATCCATGCCAGCCAGCAATTAGTCATGTCACTGCGGCTCTCTGCAAAGTTGTTTATCACCAGCGGCCATGAAAGCAGAGTGCTGTTTAATCAAAACTTTTAGAATCATTATTTCTGCTACCGACTGATGTTCAGACAAACAACCCCATGTTATGAGCGACTCCAGTGCTTGTGTTGAAACGCGTTGGGATCTGAAGATGGGAGAGTGAGCTCCAAAGGTAACCTCTGCAGTATTCATATTTCACATGTTGTGACAGCGATGCAGATCAGAACAGAATCCAGAGCTCCTGACTTTGCTGCGGTGAGCTGCGAGAAACTGGAAAGAAATAATGCTTTTCCTTACCGAGCACGTGCACCACCTTCCTCCTTCCCTTGTCCATGTCAGCAGGCAGGGAAGCCACTGAGACGGCAGAGGTCAGGATGAAAACCACAAAGGACATTTTCCCAAAGGCCAGAGGCCTCAGCTGGTTTAAGAACTGCAGGAAGGGACACAACAGAGGAAATGTGGTTATCAAAGGTTAAACGAAAACGAAGAAATCAGACAGTGGCGTTCCAGGGGCACAATCGAGACCAAGGTGAAGAGTACCAAGGACAGTAGCTTGACATCTTCAGAGTCAGAAACAAGGGGCTTAACTTAATGACAGTGGCACCATCGATGTGAAGACTTGGGTAAAATCTACATCTGTCCCCTGCCTCTCATTCATGCTGAAACCCCAGCAGAGAACTCCTAGTTTAGCTGGTCAGTGATCAAAACAAAAAGTAGTAGATATTTGATTTGTTCAGCTTTCTCAAAACAATATAAAGACGAATAAGTTTAGCCGACTGCTTCTGGTTTGAGTCACGCTTTCATGTCGCAGTCTGCTACACACAGCAGTTTTAAACGGCCTGCCGGTGAATCTCACAGTCACCGTATAAGAGACTACAGCACATTCTGAAACTCTCATCAGAGTGTGTGAACTATCTCCCCTGGCCGTGACCAATGAGGGATCACCTTGCTGAAAAGCTGGAAGCCACTGCTGCTTACTCTGGTCAAGCACTCATTACTGCTACAAGCTCTCTCTGGGTTATGGATGAGGGTGCAGTGGTTGCTCGGAGCACAACGGTTTGCAGACGTGTGTGTTTTGACCCATGATGGATCGCAAACCCTTGTGCAAAATACAAACTTTCAAACACATGCTCAGACACATATAGATTGGGCTACATTGTATCATCATAACAACAAATTACAGGAGCCAATATGTACAGTATGCTGCAGCTGTGAGCGTCACTAGAGCTTTGCACTGTCAGTGTCACCTGAGAATAATCCACCGCAGCACATAACGTCTGAACAGGCCCCAGTGAAGCAGAGTAACTAAAGCAGCCACTTTACATGCACGTTGCACACTACAAACATCCCTGCTGCATCTTTTTTTTTTTTTTCCTCAAGGTTAGTCCATTGAACACCCCTGCAGTTCCCACGCAGCACCGAGAACCGCAGAGCAGAGCCGTACTAATGGAGCACAGAAGTGAACTTACCATGGCTACCGCAACAGGATTAACGCCGGGATGGAGCAGATGTGCCTCTGTGCGTCGTTCTGTGCTCAATGTTGTTCTGCAGCAGCGCTCACCTCTCTCCCTCCCTGTCTCTCTCTGTCTGTTCCCCGTCCCATCGCTGATCTCCAGCACTGCAGGGGAACCACCGGTGTTTGTGGGTCCCGCAGTCCTCCGATGACGCAGCAGACGTTTGCCTGTGCAGGCAGTGTGGATAGCAGCAATGATGTCGCACTGATTTACTGTTTGTGGATGTCTTTATTAGAGCCCATCAGAGTGTCACTTATTGGTTTGAGTGTCACACAGTTTGTAGCAGTTAATGCAGTAAAACCTCATTAACTTTCAGGCGGAAATATTTCTTGCTGTTAAAGATCAATTGAAATAATGGAAGTGTTCGTGTTGAGAATATGGCTGCAGATTAAGATTAGTTTATGTCAAATAGATGAATCAAATTCATCCTAACAGCCTAATGGCTGAGGAAGAGTGATAAAGAATAGACTTCAGCACAAATGTTCTTGTTGTATTACTTTATAATAATGGTAATTTATATAAATAAACAAAATCGGAAGTGAAATGCTAGTAGCCTATATTACTCTTGTAACTGTATATAAAGGCACAATTGAAATATTACATGCTTAACTTAACTTGCTTCTACTAAAATTCAGAAGGAAATATACATTTTTATCACAGCTTCCATTGTTCTGAATTATGACTTGGCAATAATATAATATAATATATACATTACAATGCAAGTCTTTAAATATTCTAGTATTATCACTCTTATTAAAGCTACTACAAGGAACTTTCATCTTGTGTTGATTTTGGCGGTCCCTGTGGACAATAGTGGTAGTGTTTCCAAACACCAGAGTTCCTTCAGAAAACCTCTCATTTTACAGCAGCAGGGTCCGACAGTCTGCCCCGCTCGGTCCGGGTTCTGGTTCTCCCGGGCCTCCCTTCCCTCCAGTGAGCCCGCAAACACGGCCTGGGTCTCCAGCGGCGTGGTGTCGGATCAGCGGAGCAGAGAGGTGAAGCTCTTCTCTTGGCTGGAGGAGGAAACGCTGCTGCCGGGCGCTGAACTCTCCTCCTCCCGCCGGAGCTTCCGACTGCAGGTTCGAAGGCGACAAAAAAGCTGAATCCGGGTCTCTCCACGGCGGGTTGGTCGCTGCAGGAGGCCCCGCTGGAGTCTGAGCTGAGGAAAAACCTGCATGATTTTGCACAGAATCCGACCCAGTGACACCGATGATAAGCTTTGAGAATAACTAAAAGAAATAGCCAGTCTTCTCTCTGATGGTCTCGTTCACTTCTGTATCATATAGAGGCATCAGTATTACATTGAGACTGTTTCATAACCAGTTAAAAGTTCCTCACACTCACTTTAAGTTTAAATACCACAGATTTTACCAGACATGAGTTAGTAATCACGATTGGGATTCATTGAATTAAGATTTTGACTTTAATGACCCGTAATTGTTCCGTCTATTATCCTGGCTACAAAAAGCAGTTGGTTTACAACAATACCACAACAATATTATCAGAAAGGAGAAACCAAATTTGATCAAAATGCTGAGGATATTCAGTGGCTTAATTGACTTCATTGGGTTTGCCAATATAGACTGGCTCCAGCTATGGTAAGTGCTAAAAATGATCGCAGATCTAAGATCAGGCCTCTCCAGTTGTTGGGGACGGTTATAGTATAAAGCTTTTAATATGTCAGGAAATTGTCAATGACGTTTGACATTTTTCCTTGTGCAGCCCATTCATGGAATTTCCGCAAGTCTGTTAATGAGTGTTCTGTAGCCCTGCATGCTTTTGCTCTTCATGCACTCACCAGTGGAATAAAGTGCAGCATCACTGACGCGTCTGACACTGAAGTCTCTCTCAAGCACCATATGGGCAGGTGCTGCAGACGCCACAAGAGCCTTCCCCGAGAACAACAGCGAAATAAGAGGGGCCCTTGAGATGATGGCAGCCAGCCGACAATAAGAGGAGACAGGACACTCGGCATCAGGCAGCTGCACTTTGTGTTAAACTTTAAAAAGAAAAACGAAACCGCGCCAATGGCTTCATCATTGCACACTGTGCCGCTGAGATTCATCTTGACTAGCAGCGTCTTGTAGAGCAAGGAAGTGGCCCTGTCAACTGCTGTGCAGCTGCTCGAGTTGCTGCAGCCCTGTGCGGCATCGCCGTGAGAGCGTTTCCCAGAGTTTGAGACATCTGCCTGGGCTCTCCCCGATGCATCGCAGACCTACCAGCAGGAGATGCAGCAGCACCGAAGGACAAAAAGAGGGAAAAAACTCACGACAATTATGCGATGCTTTGTCAGAGTGAGAAATTCCAGGTCGACATTGACAGCTTGCTTTCAGGCTTTAGACAACAACTGGATGCTTCCAAAGACATTAACAGTTGGTTTAGCGTGTTAGTTAATCTTAAATGATGCATTGGTTACTCTTAAATGAGCTGAACTATTCTCTGCCCAGCATCTACTTGATTTGGACAAGGCCTCTGCAGAAAAGTCGCTCCACTTCAGAGCTCAGCAGAGAAAGATTATCTTCCTACAAATCTATTACAAGTGGAGACATACCCTCCAGGCAACTTCCTTCTAATATTGTTGCTGAAGGTTTTTCTAAGATTACCTGTTACCTCGGAGGGAGGTAATTATCTTCAATGAGATGCTCAAAAACTGGCAAGAAATTCCAATCAGCAGTGATTCAGTGGGCAGGATTTTAAAGCCCAGTTTTAAAAACAAAATCTAGGTTCGCTAAAGGTAGGGATCAATTATTTAGTGTTGGTGCATCGGTGCAAAAGTGTCCAGTATGGACGCGGTAGAGCTCCGTTTTTCCCAGGAGATGCAGAGCTGGTTATGTCGGCCCAAAATCAATGAATGCAGCTTCAAGAAGTTCAGTGATAAACACATGTTTACTGCCTACTGGTGCATGCTGTTGTGTTGCCTAATGCCGACACTAGATTGTAAGACAACAAATACAAATAGGGATATGTGAAGATATTACGGAAAAGCAGTTTTTCTACCAGACCTCAAGATGAAGTCATAATGCAGGACCCTTGTCACTTGAGTTGACTTTATGACACGGTTTTGACTACTTTGTCAGGTAAAGCAGCGCAATGGTGAGAGATGCTGTCATCAAACTTTACAGGTGTGTAGTTGAGGTAAAAATGGAGGTCGAATTAAAAGATATGGTCCGAGCAAGGGTGCTGAAAGTAGGAGGGTAGGGAAGTGGGGAAGGGGCCATTTAACCCACTGACAAAAGGGTGTAATTGCATCGTACTTCACATGGATCACCAAAACACCTAAATACAACCCTTTAACGTTGAAGAAAACTAAAATTCCCTGTTTGTCTAGGGAGGTTTTCATCAAAACGCAATTCTTTTTTTCACTATATTTTTGTTTTTTTATGTGAAATACATATGAAATCAGTACATTATCTAATAGCTATACAACTAGATAGATGGATGGACTGACGGACAGTCAGACGGATAGACGGATAGATCGATAGATAGCTAGATACTACTTATTTATTAATGTGGACCCTCATGACTTCATGCATTAATATTTTAAATGAAGTTATGTAGAGCGGCACCTCTGTCATCGCCGCAGTGTGAATTGTTTAGCTGTGTTTTCCAGAGCCACAGCTCTCTGGGGCCCATCTGCATCGCCCGACCAGACATCTGCAACAGAGATCCCCTGTGACTCCCATCATGGGATTACAGAGCTGTTTGGAGAGGCCTCGTTTTTAAAGCCTCTGCCACACACACACAGAATGCATCGCTAGCATGTGCGAGTATAGGGCAATGCCACACTTCAGCATGAAAAAGCTGCTGAGGGAGAGTGAATTAAATGAGTCTGGCTCTCTCTCTGTCTGTCGGTTGGCCTATTGCTCAGCGAAGTACGAGGGATAATTACTTATGAGGGGGCCACTGTTATTGATGGTCAGGGATGGAGACAAGGGCTACAATGCTGTTTTAAAATGCTTTATCTAACTACGTAAATGACCCCCTTTATCTCTGTCAGGAAAACACTCTGTGTTCATTTAAATGACTGAAGTGCATCCAAAGCATTACGCTACTGAAAAAGGTTTGGCAGATAGATTCAGTATTCGTCAACTGCATCACATTGTGTGCTGATAATCTGCTCTTCTACTTTGTCAGCCTTTTGCCTTTTCATACTGAGAATAGTCCTCACTGTACTGACAATCGTCTTTCTTCTGATCAAATGTGAAAGGAACCTCTTACACACTGCCTGTTGGTCATTTCAGTGTGTTTGTTTGTGCAAACCAGAAACCTAAGTCAATCACTTGATGTCTTTGTGAAAGACAATGACGAAAGCGGCGGCGGACTATTTACTGCACCACCCACCCACACAGCAGCATCACTCAGCGGAATAGAAGCAAACAGGATCAAGGAATGCAAAGTGGAGAAAGGATGAAACGCAATTTGGGCATACAGGATCAGAGAGAATGCAGAATGGCACGTCTTGTTTTTTCCTACTTAAACCAAGAAAGTCTGTCTTTTTAAAAACTGAGATAAAGGCTGGCAGCAGACAGCAGCGATGCGTGTTCACCAGAGTAAGTGAGTGACAAGAGCTGCTGTTGAAGTATGCATTACCTTCTGCAGCGCATGTTGGCACGTCCTTTCCACTCAGCTATGAGCAATGGTCTGTGGTGGCTCCAGCAAAAATAGCAAGCACATTGTGGATTCATCAAGTCCCCCTCCTCCGTACTCTAACCCCCACAATGTCTATTTCACACATGTGTGGGCTAACGGGGACCAAATATTACAGTTATGTAGCATACTGCAGGATATCTACGACATCAACTATATATACGTTTTAGTGACGTCTGCACCAATTAAGAGGTTCAATTGCAGTGCATTTTAGACAAGCTGATCTCACAGAAATACGTGAAAATACCACAAGCTCAATATGTGGATGCGGCACGAAATGTGATAAAAATGATGTGCCACAACCACGGAAACAATAAAACCACTTAGTTAAGTGTAGGAAAAACAGCATGGTTGGGCTTGAAAGGTACGTGAACTAAGTAAAATACGAATGTGACTTTATAATAAGTCAACCACACACAAACACCATAAATGCACAATATGTAACTTTCTGTCTGTCATTCAAAACAATGACAAAATGACAGAGTTTGGTGATGTTGTGGAGTAGCATGGGATCATGGGAGTTGTTGTCTTCCCCACCATTGCCGTCATTGCTGTCAGCTTCTCCTGGTTTA